TACCACACTTCCGGTTTTGCAGCAGTTGTTTCCTAACATTTCTAGGGCTCCTCCTGCTCTGGAAACGTCTCCTCTGTCTTTCCTTCATGGGGAATTTTTGTTTGTTTTTGTTTCCCCCTTATCATCTTACTCTAAATGTTTGCTTTCAGTGTTACTTGTAACTTCTCCTGAGCTTATTTTGTCTCTGTCCTCAGGTGGGAGGCAATAACTGTCACTGAATCTAAAATGAAAGGGAATTTTTTGATGCCTTTCAAACTTCTCTTTCTGTTTTGCCTTTAATTGTCCAGGCCTGCCTGTCTTCCTGCCTTCCTCCCTCCTTCCCTTCCCCCTTTCCTTTCCTCTTAGCAAGGTCCTAAAGTTGATAGCCCTGAGAGCTGGATGCTTCTTGTTGGAAAAATGAGAATTATATGGTATATTTCTTCCATGCAGTGAGGAAAATAGTCTCGGGGAAATAAAGCCATGGGACTGGACATCAGTAGTTATGGTCATAATATTAATCATTGGTGGACGATGCCTCCTCTCAACAGGTACGGTGATGTAAGTGGCCATCAGAGGGACAGCCACCCTGCAAAGCTGATTGGTTCTTTGAGGACCTGATGGTTCCACTTTGAACCAATGAGCTTGAGTGCATGCACCACAACCGTTTAGGCACGTGGGGTCAGGTGGGGTGCTGCTTTGCCTGTTGCACCCTCACAGGAGTGCAGTAGCAGTGACCCAGCCCACCTAGGAAACTGAAGACAGTCGATGCACCAGGGGGATGATGGGAGTCCAGGCTGGAAGAGGCCTAGCTGACTGTCAGCAGTGAATGCAGTGGAAAGATGAAGGGGCTGAAGTGAATCTGATATGCCATTAAGGGCCATAAAGCCACTGAGAAGAGAAGTGTGTGATTAAAAATAGATTTTTTTCAACAGTCTTATAAAATCTCATGAAGAGTATAATTTTCCTTAAAAGGGGTAGTACACCATGATTTTAAAGGCATATTTTTCCTCTGTGGGAGGCTTAAGAGTTAAACCCCACGTAGATCTTGATATGCAGCCTAAATTTGGCATCAGGAAATGGGAAATTGCATCTTTAAGCAGAGTACAATCAAAAATGAATTACAATAAATCCTATATAATTGCATAGGTCATTCTCTTTAATGAGATTTTATTAACCTGACTGTCAAGCTTTTGAGTCAGGCAGATATTTTATCTTCTTCAACTGATAAAAGTGTCAGCTATAAACCACCATATAAATATTCATAAATCTACACATCTGCGGCAGCCTATCAGCATCATTCTTTTGGACATTAAAAGCATTCTAATTACTTTCTGTCTAGCAGAGCTGAAATGCTGCCTGTTATAGTATGTGCTTGGCAGGCATGATTGCTTTTGTTTGCCATCACAAATAGCAGCATCCTATTTTATATACCGATGGTCCAGAAAATATTCAGGGATTGACTGAGCAGGATGAATATTAGGAAGCACCATCTGGTTTTGATAGCACCAAGTATATTAACTCATCTGTTAATTTTTGACACATCATTGATTTATTTATTTAGAAAAATTGCATCCTGTTTTGCTGTGTTGATGTTTGCCATTATGAAAAAAAAATTGGATGGCCTTTTTTTTTTTGAAAGATATCATTCATTGATTTAAGACAGGGTGATACTTGCAAAGATGCTTTCATTTTCTAGCTTCTGTTTTCCAGCCTGTCAAGTCCTCTCTTGAATAGAAGTTGCATCCATGTTTTAAGGAAATCATCTATTTTGAACTAGTTGGAAACTCTGCAGTAGACACAATATAACCCCTCTAAAGGGGGGTTACTGAAAAATTTCTGCTTCTACATTTTCCATGTTAATATATTTCACCCTTCAATGGACTAAAATCAAAAGGTTACCTCTAATCTTGAGTATGTGATATCCTTCCTGGAAGCAGAATTCTCCTGGGGATCTGCTGTGATGGGCACATTCTATTCAGGGCTTTTCTTACGAAGAGAAACCTTAAAGTAGGGAGACTGTGTTTGATTGCCTACTCCCTGTCCTTCTTCTTAATCACTTATCTGGTTTAGGATGGATTAAGCCACTTAAATCCAGAAGAATTTCAAGAAATGAATTTTTTAATTGAAAAAATAATCATGGGTTTAAATAGTGGCGTAAGGCTAGGCACAATTTGCAGCACGATAGCTCCCAACAGGTTGCACAATAAAGCAGAACAAGTTGGAAAGAAATGGTCATTTTAGAGTGTTTCGTGGTTTACTGATATTTGATAGTATTTAATTTTAGGAGAATTAGAAATAAAGTGGACAGTCTTAAAACCTGTTTCGTAAGCTGTTGACTTCATATTTTGATGTCATCCCTTGAGTGTGGAGCATTCTTTGACTGGAAAAAAAAAAAAAAAAAAAAAAAAAAAAAAAAAAACAGGTAAGAAGAGTGGAGACTTTCAGACTGCTCCAGATTTGCCCACTTGGGAATCGTGGTTCAGTACCTTATGCAATTAAGGGGAAGAGCTGCTGTTTTCCCTATCAGTTTTAGTAGTAAGATTTTTTTTTCCCTCATGCTTCTTCATGTATCAATGTTAAAAAAAACTATTTAAATATTTCAAGGTATTGAAGAGAAATTCAACCATACGGATTTACAATGGCTACTTTTGTATTTATCAATTTTGAGAACAAGTTCATTCAGAACGAAATACTTTAAACACTGCAGGCAAGAACAGTTTTATGATTGTAACTATCCTCCAATATTCTGGGTGTACTTTAATAGATTATCTTCATAATATAGTATATTACATAATGATTTTTTCTCAGCATGTTATGAGTTTATCCTTCAATTAAGAAAACAAATCATGCTTGTCCCCGAGTCAGATTTTTCCCCTTAAAATCTATGCTGTAATGTGATTCATCAATATGACTGAAACTACCAAGTCTTTTGTAGGACACTGAACAAATGTATTCAAGCAGCTCCTTTTAGGCAATCCTGTTTTAGCCTCTGCTTGCATATTTGTACCTTTCATCAAGGTTATGCTAAAGGTATATAGGCTGTAAATCATCTGAGTCTATGCTGATTAAAATGCAAACAGTAAATACAGTGCTAGGTCTAGAATGGGATTATGGGATTAAATGAAAAAAACCTGCTATTGTGCCAGAATTAGCACTTCCGATCAATATCATCCTTTGACTTTACTAATAAAAGAACAAAGTGAAAGTAAAAAAAAGAAAAAAATGAGAGTGCAGTATCTTAAAACCTATTCCCTTTTATAGTTCAGCTGTTTACTTTTTTATTTGGTTTAAGTCATTGTAGAAAAATAGCACTCAAATATTTGTGGGACTGCGTGATTCAGCAGCACAAGCCAAGCTAACAAGTAGAAGTATATTGTATTCACCTGTCTTGATGAGTATACCTTCCTAATAACCAGGTATCACTTGAAATTTTCAGCCGGTTCAAGATCCTCTTTCCCCTGCCAGCCTTTTGGGTTCCTCCTATACACACACGTGCGTACCCCAGATCACACCTCAGGCTCTGGGCCATGCAGAGTTTTAGTGTGGTTAGCTCAGGAAGAGGCCAGTATAGGCCCTCAAGCAGTTTGAGTAGGAGATTCCTACATCTTGGATGCTTCACCAAGGTTGGCAGAAGCCAACCTTCCTGACAGTAGGTTGGCTGGAAGTACAGGGCCAGGGAAGGTGCACGAGCAGTGAGTGTACCAGGTCCTGTGCTGTTTGATCGCATAGTAGGAACAAGGCATTTAGTCTGTCCCTCAATACCTCAGTTACTTCCTGAAAGAATGCCAAGAAGGAAAAATGGAGCATTGAATCCTGCATGCAGATGGTACCCCTGCACCGCCATATTTTGGTACTGTGGATTCAATCCAGGGCCTTTGCACTGAGCAGCATCCTTACCCCACACCCTTTTAAAGTTTTAAGTCATGGTTTCACTAAGTTGTCCAGGCCAAGTTTAAGCCTGTGATCTTGCCTCAGCCTCCCCTGCACCACCATGTTCAGCTGCATGGAGGTTCTGTTTTTTTTGTTTTGTTTTGTTTTTGTTTTTGGTGGAACCAGGGATTGAACTCAGGCCCTTGTGCTTGCCAGGCAAGTGCTTATTCTCCTGAGCTATCTCTCTGGCCCCTTGTTTTGTTTTTTATGTATTTGATTGTTGCAGGGTCTCACTGTGCAGCTCCAACTCATAGTGATCCTCCTGTTCTCAGCCTCCCCAGCTCTGGGATTACAGGTGTGTACCACCATGCCCACTACCACGCCCGGACCTGGGCAGGCTCAGCCCCACCCTGGGTGCAGGGCTAGAGCAGCATGTGGTGCTGAGGATGGAACCTTAGGCTCTGTGCTTGCCTGAGCTTGCCTAAGTAGGTGCTTTAGTCTGCTGAGCTATTTCAGAGGCCCTGCATGGAGGTTCTTAAAGTGTGACTGCATTAGTTAGATGGCCTAGACTTCCTGGAGAAAGTTTCTTTTTACAAGGGCTCTGGCTTTTTGTCCTGTAGAAGCCCTTAAGCATCCCCAAATTTTGTCTTAAAGATACCCCTCCCCCAGAGGGAAGCAGTTGGTCAACACTCAGAGAAATGCACTGCCCTTCAGTAATGCAGGACTTACTGGCATCTAAAATGCCCTGTATTTATGTGTTGCCAGTTCTGGGTAAAGGTAAGAGGAAATAAGGTCCTCCTACGACTGAGTATGTAGGTAAGCTCTGTATAATAGGTCATTCTAGGAGGTAGCAGGAAAGAGACTCCACTTCGTCACATTTATGTTTAGGGTGAATTTTCAGGATTCTTAAGACTGTAATATTAAGCAACATTGTCACAACTGGGACTTTTCTCCTTTTGTTTTTGCAGTGAGTTGACTGGTTTCTGTGTGCTTCTTGCTTTCATTGCTTGGTAGTTAATTGCCTTTAGATTTAATGTATATGAATTATCCTGGTGCCCGTACCTCGTGCCATTTTAGGAGACTGAACAGTCCCATGGAAGTGGTTCTGAAAAAGAGACATTACTGATTTCCACATGACACTGATCCAGGTCAGCACAAAGATTGCCTTTGACAAGAAATCCAAATTAGGAAGTAAATTTAAAGGAAGAATAGCGAACAGAATAGATACTGGATGACACACACGGTTTTGTTTTGCTCATCCTTTGCCTGTACACTCACTCTTTGTTTTCTCTTAGATTTCTGGTGTGCTCTTCAAAAAGACTTACCTTCTCCAGCTTGCGTCTGGGAACTACGTATTCTCGGCAGGATTGTATCAGCTGATTAATAGCAAGGGCATGAGGGCACTCCAGAAATAGAAGTAATGATTGCTTTAAGCCCTCCTTTCAGTGAGGAATTGAGTCTGCAGTGGCTGGCTTGATTCATTAGAGTATGGATAGTAATGAAGCCAAAGGTGTGGGTTTAGACCTGGGCAGGCCAGTCAGTGCCACAGAAAAGGAAATCTCCATGTGTTGCTCTCCAAGTTACAGTCTGGCTCCTTCTTACATACAGTGAGGGGCTGGGGTGACTCATCAGGCAGGACAACAGGAAGATGTGGGCTGTTAACAGTGAATTCACCCTGTCACTTTCATTTGTGACAGTGGAAGTACGTTTTTTAATAAGTTTGATAGTAAACTCTAAATTGAAGACTGCTTATTCTTTGCTTTTGTACATCAGTAACTGGTGTTTCCCTTTTCATTTCAGAAAGTCGTATGATCTTGGATGCCTTTGCCCAGCAGTGCAGTCGAGTACTTAGTCTCTTAAATTGTGGCGGAAAACTTCTGGACTCCAACCACTCTCAATCTGTAATTTCTTGTGTAAAGCAGGAAGGCTCTAGTTACAATGAAAGACAGGAACACTGTCACATTGGGAAAGGAATCCACAGTCAGACCTCAGACAGTGTAGACATAGAGATGCACTATATGCAGAGGAAACAACAAACTTCTGCCTTTTTGAGAGTTTTTACTGACTCTCTCCAAAATTACCTGCTCTCGGGGAGCTTTCCGACTCCAAACTCCTCGTCAGTCAGTGAGTATAGCCACCTGGCCGATGTGGATCCCCTCGCAGCCTCCCCCGTGCACACACTAGGTGGCTGGACCTCCCCAGCAACGTCGGAATCCCATGGCCACCCATCCTCTTCTACACTGCCGGAGGAAGAGGAGGAGGAGGAGGAAGAGGAAGGCTACTGTCCTCGATGCCAGGAGTTGGAACAGGAGGTCATTTCACTGCAACAGGAAAACGAAGAGCTCAGGAGGAAATTAGAGAGCATTCCAGGTATGCCATTGTTCTGCTTGCTGGACAACCGCAGCTCAGTGCTTTCAGTTGTTTCAACTGTTCAGATGAATGCGTACGTGAGATATGTATATATTTGTCAAACAGGTTTCAGGATGAACTACTAGCCTGTTGTCTGTTTCAGCGACAGCATTCTTGAATATGGGCTAGAAGATCATAGTTTTCATAAACAAGGTCTCTATCGATAGGAAAGTAGCTCCTAGATGATGTGTCTTGACGATGGAAATAGATCAAGTGCTGTAAGTCTGAGCTGTGTTCGTAAAGTAGCCCTTCAAATGAGCTTTACACTTTTAAAGGCTCAGTCATTGATAGAAATTAAAATGCAGCGATCTTTTCAGAGGTAGGACTTAAGTGGTACTGAACCAATGAGATGGTCTCCTCTGTTCCATTCATTTCTCCCTTTTTGGTAGGTTTTAATAAGCAGTCACTTTTCAGCCTGTAGTTAGTAAACTGTAAGCTAATAGATCAGAGATAAGCCAGTGATTAGGCTAGTACTGAACTGTGCCCCTGGCTAAGCCTGGGTCATTTCCTGCTTCTGAAAGACTGGATGTTCAGAGAAATAGAGTTGTCTTTATCCCAGGACCTTCTCTAGATTGTTAAATTGTTTCACTCTTTGAAAAAAAAAAAAAAAAAAAGTTTTATTTTTGAGTTCATTCCTGTGTCAGGGGATTGGAAAAGACATTAAGGTCACTAGTAGAATAGTATCTTCAGATCTTTTGAATCTTGCATCCTATGAGTGAGGGATTTGGGAGGATATGCCTATCAACACAGTTGATGATCCGGAGCTGAGGGGCTGCAGAGGTAGCTCAGCGGGGTAAGCACCTGCCCGGGCAAGCGCAAGGTCTGGGCTCCATCCCTGATAGCACAGGCGGCATCGGCCCTGCCCTGGGCACGCTGAGCCAGTGACTGAGTCCAGGCGTGGTGGCACTGGGGAGGCTGAAAACAGGAGGATCACTATGAGTCCGAGCTGCATAGTGAGACCCTGCACCAAACACATAAAACTTAAAAAAAAACAAGTTGTGTCGTTTGCTTAATCCAACATCTCTGTATCTTTCGATTTGGTAGCTGATGTAGAAATGCTGAAGAAAACTCCTACGTGCTTATTATGACACATGGGAACAAACAAGTGTTATGACCTGCCAAGTCAGGGGAGGGAAGGAAAGGAGAGAGGACATAAAAAAGAATTGCCAGATGAAAAATTGTGCTTGCACTGTTTTACTGAAAAGAATGGCTCCAACAGAGTAGAAACTTGGTTCGGAATGTCTGAGAATTAGATTCCGTGGAGTCATTTGGGGGATGAAAGTCAAGAGGTGTAGTGAAGCCATTCTTTCTTTTTTGCATTTGGGCTCCTGGGCGCAGATGCATGATGCTTCCCCAAGCCAAAGTGGGTGCTGCCTGCTAGAGATTTGCCAACTAGAACCAGAAAGCTTGCGGTGGAACCAGAGCCCTGCTCTTTTCCCCAGCTCGGGGAGCCAGGTGCAGATAACACACTGGGATTTTAGGGCTGTCACAGCTCTGGGAAGTGTAGCCGCAAGGGCTGCATTTCTGTCTTCTTAGTTGGGAAGAAAAAGAGTGTCCTGAGGTAACCCCAGCTGCAGGGCCAAAGAAAAAGCGTTGCCACTTGTTCCTTCATATTGGATGTTCACAGCAGAAATTAGAAAGTCTTTAAATTTTTGAAAAGAAACGAGAATAGATTAAAGGAAAACCACAAAGAAAAGACCTGGATGAGGAATATGAAGTGCTTAATACTTTCTAGAAGAAAATGGTACATGGAAGTTCTCAATGGAGAAAGTCAAGTTGGGGTTGTTAGATTTATTTATAATTACCGTCAAATTAAGAGTGCACTAAGTAGGGGGTATAAAACACTGTATTTCATCCAGTGCAAGATACCATTGAATGTGAGACACATCAGTTTTTATGTTCCACTGAGAAGAAAAAACATTATAAATCATAACTGCATAGTAACTGTCTTTGAACACAAAGTCCATAGATTCTAGAATCATAAAATAGGATCATTAAAATACTTGAAATTTGTTAAATACCCATGTAGGGAGGATAAACTTGGTGGTTTTTAAAAATAAATTTTATTGTATAGGTTTAAAATACTTAACAAGGTGTTATAATACATATAGATAATAAGATTTCTGTTTGAAAAACTTGACATCCATCATCTCACTGTTACCATTTTGTTGTTGTTGTTATTGTTGTTGTTGTTTGTGGCATCAGTAGCTAAAATCTACTCATTTGAGCCTGAATCCAAAATAGAGAATAACTCTGGAACGTGAAGTCCTCCTGTTTCACGTTAGCTATCTAGACTTGCTCATCCTACATATCACTTTGCAGTATTTGACCTATTTCTTCCTTACTCCCCTTTCTCCAGCTCCCTACTGACTTCTTTATTCTTTAGCTTTGTATACTTGATTTTTTTTAACTCTGTGTGTGTGATCATGCAAATTATTTTTTCCTGTGTGGCTTATTTTGTTTAGCATAATGTCCCGCAAGCTCATGCAGAGAGAAGATCTTGTTCTTCTGTTAGGGCCAGGGATGCCCCATCATGTGTAGGTGCCACAGTTTCTTTGATCACTTGTCCACCCACAGAAACTTGTGCTGCTGCCATGTCTTGGCTTTTGTGAATACTTCTGTGTTGAACGTGGGCGTGCAGATAGTTCTGTGAGGTAATTTTATTTCCTTTGGATGGAAATCCAGAAGAATTGCTTAGTTGCATGCTAGGTCTGTGTTTAGATCTACCTCCCCTCTGCCAGTACTAGGGATTGAAATCAGGGCCTGTGCACCTTTTTTAATTTTTGAGATAGTGTCTTGCTAAATTGCTCAAACTGGGCTCAAATCTGGGACCTTCCTGTGTGTCTGGCTTCCAAGAGTGCTGGGATTACAGGTGTGTACCACTATCCCTCCTGCCTTGTATTTAATTTCTTTAGAAACCTGTAGACTTTTCCATGATGGCTACACCAATCTACATTCCCACCAGGAGGGACAAGAGCAGTTCCTTTTCTGTGCATCCTCAGCAACATTTTTTAATTTTGCCTTATGATAATAGTCTCCTTAAAGGTGTGAGATGATGCATTAGTAGTTTTCACTTTTGTTTCCCCGATGATAGATTGATGTTGGGCACCCTTTTATTTACCTGTTAGCCTTTCTTATGTCTTCGGAGAAAAATACATTCACATCTTTTGCCCATTTTTTAAAAATTGTTTGCTTTCTACTGTTGAGTTATATGACTTCTTTATAAATTTTAGATACTAACCTTTTACCAGATACATAATTTGAAAATATAGTTTCCTAGTTCATAGGCTACTGCTTCATTATGCTGGTTGTCTTTTGTATTGTCAGAAGCTGTTTAGTTTGACACTGTTTGTGTTTCTGGCTTTATAGTTTCAGGTCTTCTACTTGGGTTCCTGCGAAAATCAGTGTATAGAAGCGTTTCTTTTTTTCTTTTTTTTGCGGAACCAGGGTTGAACTCAGGCCCTTGTGCTTGCTAGGGAAGCACTTATTCTGCTGAGCCATCTCCCCAGCATTTCTCTTTTATCTTCATAGATTTGTAGTTTCCTTTCTTAAATTTAGGTATTTTGTGCATTTTAAGTTTTTTGTTGTTGTTGATTTTTTTCTTTTCATAACCGGGATTAAACTCAGGCCCTTGCACTTGCCGGGCAAGCGCTTATTCTCCTGAGCCATCTCCCTGGCCCTTCAGTTGATTTTTATGTGTGGTTTAAGATACAGGTCTAATTTTATTCTTTGCATATGGAAATCCAGTTTTTCAAGCATCCTTTATTGAAGAGTATTGTGGGCATTTTTATAAGAAATACTACTTCCTGAAAGTGTATTTTTGATCATCTCAATTTATTGAAACTCCACGGCCCCACCAAAAATACTAATGTCATTTGTATTTTACAGATAAGTTGAGGCCACAATAGGTAGAGAATTGAATCCAAGCTTTCTGACTCCATACTTAATTTATCAGTCCCTTCCATCTGCAGCACACAGATGACACTCCTTCACAGCAGTTACGTCCTTTAGCATTACTATGAACAATGAATTAGCAAATTTGAGAAATTACTCCTAGAGGAAAACACAGCTAAGTTCCCAAGAGCCTTTGATTACAGCATTTTCTTTTTTCTCCTATTTTTTCTCAGCTAATCAATACTTAACCTTATTTCATGTGTGTTCATTTGAAAAGGCCTTGTTTAATATTTATTACTGGTTGATTAGCATTGAACTCACAGGCACCAGTACTATATCCTCATGTCTGAATGAAGCTTATCTAACATACCTGTTTCTTTCTATAAGACATCACAGGCTTCTTGTGCTTAGAAATATTACAAAGCACTTCAACCCCACAACTGAAGGCCATTTTAAGTAGTGACACCACTAACAAAAAGAGAGAGACACAGCAAAATAGATCATGACAAAAGACACTTGTTTATAGGATGAGAGCTGAAACAAGAGGGAAAGATCTTCCTTTGGGACCTCAGCTGGGACCTGTGCCTGGTGGGTGACTCAGGCTTCCCGAGGCTTCATGCATGGCTGCCGGTGTTGATCTGTACCTGTTACAGGTGCATTTTAGCAAGCCGGCAGAATTTGGAGCCCTCAGACAAGGGTCGACTGTAACTCACAGGGCTACAAAATAGATTATGTAGTTGGATTACGCAGTTCTGATCCTATTAGTCCACTGTTGTCATTTTCTAAGAAGATTAAAAAAATAATAAATCAATAACATCACTTGCTGGATAAAGAAATAAGAACAAAAAGCCCTTAGAATAGCTGCATGATAGGTATGGAATAGGCCATTTGCTCGCTGTGCTTTTTATTGAATCATTTCTGAACCTCAATTTCTCCTTGCCATAAAACTAGTTTAATGGTAATACTATAGGAGTAATGAAAATGTTAAAGTCAATAAGTGGCAAGTGAGTGCCTCAATAAATATCAGCTTTGAGAAGAGAGGGCAGCTGTTTTGTGCATTGCAAACA